ATGCATTAGGTTTTCTCGTTTTCTTATATTTATATGAATTGTATTGAACATTGAAGGCAGTTGATGATTGATTAATAAAGTTGAGTTTGGCTTGGCCACGTTTTCCTCCTTCCCCTCTCTTCTTCACGGCTTCTCCCTCTCTTCTTCTCCTTCCTCCTCTTTTTCTTGTTTCTTATTCTACATCAAACCGCAATGCTTGGTGCTGTCCCCGCAAGGTACAACTGGAATGGTGGTGAGACTGGGTTCGACACTTCTCCATGGCTAGAGGAAACGCCTCTGTTCCTGCTATGGAAATGACCAAATGGTTTGACACCAACTAGTAAGTGAATGGTTAAATCTCAGTTTTTTTCTTCTTTCTTTTTGTCGACATTATACCTGTGATATTGAAGTGCTGACTAGTGTGGTTCATTTATTAATTCAGCCACTTCATCGTGCCCGAATTAGGACCTGATGTTAAATTTTCCTATGCTTCTCACAAGGCTGTGACTGAATACAAGGAAGCTAAGTCGGTATGTTGTCCGCAAGACTCATTGTATATTTATGCTACTTGACTAGCCATTGTTGTCTCGTTTGATCCTATATAGTCTTTGAACCTGGTGGCACTAAAATTTTAAGATCTGTAATAGCGTACCCATAAACTTTTGACCACCCCCTTATGAAATCATTACTGCCCCCCCAAAATTGGTTAGTACATTGTACTCAGCTACACTCTTGACCCTCAGCTTCTGGTTCGGGACATGTGAGGACCTGGTTTTTAAGACATTTTTGAGATGAGTGTCTATTGCTAATTTTCCAATCTTTTGACAGGTTGCTAATTCTGGCTCCCTTGAACTTTCACCGGTTGATGGAAGGACACTGACGGATTTCATGCGTACCAGGGGTGAAATGAACTGTAGTTTATCTTCTTTTTGTTATTATAATGTACTTCATTTTCTTTTTGTTAATTTAATTTGTACATAAACTGGAAAAAATATTGTCATATCCTTCTATTCTACGATAACATCGATGTTTGCAACATACATCCAAACGTTGCAAAATGCTATTTTTGTAGTAGTGGTATTTTGAAAAAATGTGTTTCAAATAAGGGTTTAGTGGAAAGTGATCCCCACTTACCACTAAAACATCACACCCAATGGGAGATTGTAATGGGGAAAATAAAATTAAAAAATTGTATCTCAGTTCTTTTCATAAATTATAAAATAGAAATGTACATGTTCTGGCACAAACTTGAAAGATTAAGCTCCGAATAAATTAAAAGAACGAGTATCTTTCAGAGGTAAATATAACTTTGTCATATAACTTTAGTTATATGATTTAATATGAACTGATGTCATATAAGGCATATGACTTTGTTTATATGACAAAGTTGTCCGACAAAGTTATATAACTTTGTTTACATAACAAAGTTGTCATATAACTTTGTTTATATGGTGTCATATAACTTCCATATACCATGTCACTGTATCTTAAAATAAAGTAATATCTTAATCACTTGCTTTCTATAAATTCCAACTCCACCTCCTAGTTTCATTGCTAAAAAAGTCTCTGCCTCACAATTTGTTTAGGATCTTGAAATGATCATGTCTGTTTTCATACCAGCTTTAGTGCTTTTCTTTACCATGGCTGGAAATTCAGGCAAGCAAGCTTTGTCTTTTTGTTAATCGAGAAATATACCACTTTGACAATTTCCTTTCGGCAATGGAAAAGGTTATGCCTTTTAAGCATAAAGCAAGTTAAGCATAACTAACAAGTTGTGCTTAAAAGGCAACTTTTTCCATTGCTGAGTTATATGTTGAAAAGTTGTCACTGGATCTTAAAATAATTTTTTATCTTTATCACTATCTCTTGCGTACCATAAATTCCAACTCCACCTCCAAGTTTCATTGCTAAAATAGTCTCTGCCTCCCAATTTGTTTAGGGGTCTTCAAATGATCATGTCAGTTTTCATAGCAGCTCTAGTGCTTTTCTTTACCATGGCTGGAAATGCAGGCAAGCAAGCTCTAGTATCCTGCTTTATTGTCTTCTCTAGCACTTATTCTTTTATCCCCTTAGTATGGTTTTTTTGTAATCTGAATATGTAAAAATGGCCATTTTGCAGATGCTGCATATTATTGCATTTGTAATGATGGATTGGGTGATACAATTTACCAGAAGAACATTGATTATGCATGTGGAGCTGGAGCAGATTGTACTTCAATTATGCAAAATGGCCCCTGTTTTCAGCCAAATACTGTCGAGAATCACTGTAATTTTGCAGTGAATAGCTATTACCAAAGACATGGTCAGGTTCAGGGGAGCTGTAGCTTCTCAAACACTGCCACTGTAGTTCAAGACCCACCTCGTAAGCCTCCCCTTACACCCAAAAGCAGAATTATACATTGAATGATGCTAACTTTTCTTTAATTTACAGCTGCAATTTCTGAATGTTTACATCCATCTAGCCCCAGGTATGCTTTCTACCTCTTAAAGATACTCGATTTTTTAATTTATTCGGAGCTTAATCTTTCAAGTTTGTGCTAGAACACGTACATGACTCTTTGTAATTTATGAAAAGAACTGAGAAATCCCCATTACAATCTCCCATATGTGATTATTGGCTAATATGTACAGAGCCGTCGACAAACCGATCATCCATTTCTCCCTCTCAATTAAAATCACTCTTGCAACCGGCTTTGTGGTAATGGTAATAAGTGTCCTAAAGCTGTTTCAAAGGTATAGGAGAAGCACCCGGGTGAATGAAGGGGAGAGACACCAAGATGCTGCAAATCACAAAAATGGGCAAGGAGAAATCGAGAATAACACTGTAGGTTCTGTGTCGATCACGTTTGATGTTGAGGTTTGAGAATTCCAAGTTTTGAGGTACAGAAAATGTTACAGTACATATAGTGTATAGTGGCACAAAAAAGCTAATTGTACAAAAAAAGGGGGACAAAAAAGTTGACAAGCCCTCACATGATTGCCGGCACCACGTGAA